TTTTTTTTGTTTTAGTATTTTGAAGTTGACCAATTGTTACTATAAGCAATTAATGATTATAGATGATCTGCACCGTAGCACTGAATTTTATATTTAAATTGTCTCTATTAAAAATAATTGCGAGAAAAAAAAAATGTCCCCAGTGCCTTGTACCAAATATAAAAATGCTGTACAAAATAATAATTATTCCGGTGGAATTTTAACTTACGTTTATAGATGGAAAATAACAAATTGGAGTGATGTTAGACCTTTTATGGAACATACTAGCCCTCCTTTTAGTGCTGACGGTTTACAATGGTTTGTAGCATTAAAATATATTTTTTATAACGTTTATAATGCTATTAGAAACTATATTGAATATATATTGAGCTAACATACTTGCGTTTATCACAAAAAATATAATTGAAAATAGGGTATTTAAGGTAATATTAAATAATTAAAATAATAGATCAATTCATCATATCAATCCATTTATTCATTCATTAATTGAATTTTTTTTTTTAGTTTTACAAAGGCCGTCAAAAGAATCCATTGGTAAGTATTGTAAAAAAAAATTTTTTTGATTTTTTTAATGAAAAATCTGAATGTAAAATAGAATATTGATGATCATTGGTATATAATTATGAAAAGGCATTATCATTATATTTGGGTATTTTAGAAACTTCACCTGGATGTCTCCGTGGTGTTCGTAAGAAAGTCAGTATTATTTTTGTATTAGAAAATTTAAGAACCAGAGGAATGGATTTTGGAAAAAGTACGAAAAAAAATTTTAAATTAATAATGACATAGATGATTATTCAATTTTTAACTTTAAAAACCTCTTGGCTATGTGTGGTATTTATTTTTTTAAAAAAATAATAATTTAGTGGAACTTCCTGTTTGGTTTTGTGATAGTAAGTAAATAATAATATTAATTATCATTGTTAATATTTGTATCATAACCCATAAAGGTATTAAAAAAATATAACTTTTAATTTTAGAACATTCTACATGGGGTGAAGAAAATCTTATGTCATTGGATGAAATGGATAGGTACTTAATAAATACAAGAATTTACATTAATTATTATTATTTTGTTCTATATTATCAATATATTGAAGTATAATACAAATTATAGATTTATTAGCAATGATACAATTTCATTGTGTGTTAAATTTGAAATTCAAGATTCAATTGTTGATTCACCACCACTGATTTCAAATTCATTTGATCAACTTGTCAATTCACCAGAATTTTCTGATATAACTTTTCATGTACATGACGAATTCTCGCGAGAAAAACTTTTTTATGCTCATAAAATAATTCTTGCCAGCTCATCACCAGTATTTAATGCAATGTTGACTAATGGAATGAAAGAAACATTTGAAAATGAGATTGAACTTCATCAAATAAATCATTCAGCCTTTCTTACTTTATTAAATATAATTTACAAATCAAAATTTAAGATTAACTCATCATGTGAAGCTGAACATTTACTTGCTTTGGCTGATAGATTTGCTATCGTGCCTGTTAGAGAAGAATGTCTAAGATATTTTCGATTGGAGTTGAATTTTGATAATGTTTGGGGAATTTGGGCTATCGCTGGTAAATTACATGAATACATAATGATTTTCAATAATCAATCCGTCAAAAAAAAATTTCCCTTACCTGATTTTCACACTTTATTCTTAATAATTTACAATACACACACAAAAAAAAAGAGAAATATTTGTGTGCAAAAACCTCAACTACATGTAAAGACTATGTTGCCTTACATTTTGACGCACTCCTAGAAAAAGGATCTACTTTACATGCTGACCCCAATATATTACGTCTTGCACTTGAAAATGATGAAGCTAATGTTAGTTCTGAAGAGAAGATATATGAATTAGTAGTTAAATGGGCAACATATTCGCCATCAAACAAATCAGCAAAGATGACAAAAACAACTTTGACATCCTTATCATTATCTGATAATGACAATAACAATAATAATGGTGGCATTAGTAGTGGTGAAGATAATTCAACAAATTTACGAGTTGAATCTAGTAATAGTCAATCAATTAAAAATCAACCTACCACATTATTTATGCCATCAGAATTACCAGAAAGTACTGAAGGCATAAATTCTAAAGTCAATTCCAACATAACATCATCACCAACATCTTCTTCATCATCAGCATCACCATCATCATCAGTTCAAAACGTAAATGACCAACATGATGATAACAATTCGATAAATGATGATGATGGTGGTGGTGATGATGACGACGATGATATCGATTATATTGATAATAATGATAAATTTCCAAACCATTGGAAAGGTGATAGACTTGCTGCATTACCTTCATTGCTTAAATGTATAAGATTTCCATTAATGCATAAACGTTATATTCTTGAAAAGGTTGAGGGAAATCCTGTTATAATGGCAGCTGAAGGAATGAAAGACTTGGTAACATTATATGGAAATTATTTTTTTGAAGTTGCATATTTACGAATTTTCATGTGTTAAATCTTGTTTATTTGCAGGTTATTGAAGCATATCGGTTTTTATTAATGTCGGATTTACTTGTCAATCAACTTACATATAGAACCAAACATCGTAGAAGAAAAACCAAAGCTGTTGATTAATTTTTTGATATCTGATATAAATTTTCTTGTTATTGGTAAAAAAAAAAAAAAAAAGAAAGATATATATATTAAAGAAATGTAAGTAAGGAATTAATTTATTAATTTAGTAATATATTTTTTAATTTGGAAAATATCAATTTGAACATATAAACATTAAACATTGATTGATTTTTTAATAAATTTTATTAAGTCAAAAATGTCATTTCAAAGATTGTTATGACCTCTTCCATTAAGGTTTACCCTAATTTGAAGTGTATACAAGATTGAAAATAATGAAAAACGCCTTTTATTTTTTTGTTTTAACATTAAATACAAATTTCTTCCTAAACAATTAAAAAAAATAATAGAAATACATATATATTTAGTAGAAATTCTAAAAATAAAAGTTAGGTCAGTTAGTTTAATTAATAATTAATAACAATAATAAATAATGATAGTCAAATAAAAAATAAATAAATAATTGATTATTGTTGTTACCATCCTTCGAGCATTATTTATACAAATGTGTATATATGTGTGTTTGTGTATATTGTATTAGAGTTTGTTGAGTAACTTTTTATTTTTTATTTGATCTTTATTGATAAATGTATATACATACATAAAGAAATATAAAAGATTTCAATACAAAAATGATTTTTTAAATATTTTACATTCGAAAAAATAAAAAAAACAATTGAAATAAATCAATCGATTACTGACGTTCTGGCCAATTATATTCTTGAGAGCTCCGTTTGTATCCATACTTGGCAACAAACCCCTCGCTAGCTGCTGGACCACGAGATCCATATGCATATGGTAATGGTTTGATTTTTTCACGTTCAATTTGATGAAGGATTGGTGTGAATATCTTCCAAGCAGCTTCCAGTTCATCATCTCTTACAAAATTTGAATGATCTCCATTTAATATATCAAGAATCAATGCTTCATAAGCATCAGGAATCTTCAATTCCGAAAATCGTTTATGATAAGTAAGATCTAATTCTGAAATGACAGTATCCATTGACAGACCTGGTAATTTAGTGGTCATCTTCATGTAAACAGCCTCATTTGGTTGCACTCGAATGACTAACTCATTACGTGATGCATTTTTGAATACATTTCCGGGAACGTCCTGGAATTGAATACGTATTTCAGTTTTTTGTTCATTCAATGCTATATAAAATTGAAAAAAGAATGTCAATTTTCTCATTATAAAAAAATATAACACTGTCAATAAGATTTAATCTACCTTTTCCACATTTAAGAATAAATGGTACACCTTCCCAACGTTCATTATTGATATACAATACAGCAATGGCAGATGTTGGGCAATTACTGTCAGCTGGTACTGTGTTGTCATCCAAATATCCTGGTTTGGTACCATCTTCTGATTTTGTATATTGTCCTAAGATAACGTCATCTAATTTGAGGGGTGGAATACAACGTAAAACACGAACCTATTTATATATTTATATTATAAATATATACGAATGATTAAATATATTATTAAATAAGAATTAATAAATATAAAATTTCTCCATATCATACCTTTTCATCACGAACATCTTCAGAACTTAATGATACGGGACGTTCCATGGCAACAATACTTAAAATTTGTAAAATATCTATTAACAAGAAAAATTTTTTTTAAAATATTATTATTATTATTATTATTATTATTATCATTATTATTATTATTATTATTATTATTATTATTATTATCATTTATCATTATCATTATCATTATCATTATTATTATTATTATTATTATTATGAAAAATGAAACTTACGATTTTGCATAACATCACGAATGATACCAGATTCATCGAAATAACCACCACGACCTTCTGTGCCAATTTTTTCTTTAAAAGTAATTTGAACATTAGAAATGCAATGCCGGTTCCAAATTGCACCAAAAAAAACATTAGCAAATCTAACAATCAAAAGATTTTTGACCATTTCTTTGCCTAAATAGTGATCAATACGATAAATCTATAAACATATAAGGTTATAAATATATAAAATAAATAATAAGTGAATATAACTTTTTTATTTCCAAGCATTGATTAAAATTTTTCAATTTTTAAAAACCATTAAATACCTCATCTTCATCCCACAAAGGTGCCAAAGCCTTCCCTAACTCACGAGCACTATCAAGATCATGACCGAACGGTTTCTCAACAATTAGTCGATTTGCACCATTTTTTGTATAAACGTTTTTTTTAATACCAGTTGCAACAGGAACAAATACAGTTGGTGGTAAAGCCAAATAGAAAACACGATTTTTTGTTTTATTTTTATTATCACGGCATTCAATTTCCTCGATTTTCTGATTCAATCTTTTATAATCATCATCATTATCATATTGACCAGAAACATAAGTACAAATTTTTAAGAATTCTGAAAATTGTTGTCTTGTTTCATCATTTGGAAATTTAACATAACCAGAAATTCTTTCATGAAATTCATCTAAATCTAATTTTGTTCTGGAATATCCAACCACATGAGTTCCTTCTGGAAAAAACCCATTACGATATAGACCAAAAAGCGCAGGATATGTTTTCTTTTTTGCAAGGTCACCAGAAGCTCCAAAAACTTGTTGTTTAATAAAAAAATTTAATTATTAAATCGAGGAAAATACATGTAAGAATAAAAAGAGTAAAGAGTATTACCAACAATTGTTGTAGTTCCATTTAATTTATTATCAGACATGATTATTATTTCAAAAAAAAAATATTATAAAAGGAAGGTTTTTGGGAATTCGAGTGAGAAAGAAATCAAATTTATTTATTTGATTATTTTACATAGATTATCATTAAAACGATAATAATATTAGGGAAAAAATTATTATTAATAATATTAAATAAATAATGTGATTAAAAATAAATACTATACACAAAATGGGAATTTTTTAACCTGTTTAAGATTTTTTATACCGAAATTTTTCCTTCAACAAAAGTAAATTATCGGCCAAACGTAAATTACACGTGTAACATCATAATATTAATATGTAGATCAAATTCTTCAATAACCAAACGAGCTAGGACAAATGTTGGAACTATTATTCGGAAGGAAAAAAACCCTTCACAAATATAGTAATTGCAATATAAGAAAAAATCTCATAGTTTCATACAGATTCATTATTATTAATAATACTATTTATTATGAAACTAAAATATTAGTTAGTATTAGCGTTGTGTTTTTATTTTAAATATCTTCAACACTAACTAATAATTTACCTATTACCATAAATGCAATATATTGATTTTATCACAGATTTATGACAGCAGCAACATTGTGCGAACTGCAAACAGGGATTCCTAACCCCTGCTATTGCAAATCCATCGACCGACCGACGGGGTCAAAGACCACTCGTTATTATTGTTTCCATCTTGTAAATAATGACGTTTGCCATTGTTCGAGTTCAAATAGATAAAGCCACGACGGATGCTAAGTGAAGAATTAATACAAAGTTGTGCACGTATCCATACATGTCACAAGTTGCCAAACCTGGCCAACATTCTCCACTTGTCCATCACAGCGAGAACAGATAATGGAAGTTTTGAATTCATCATATTTCCTAGCCCGACATACTTTTTCAGTTGTAAAAATAGCCCTTTTTTAGGTCCAGATGGATCTCCACGGCTACTGGATGAGAAAAATACATCCCCATATGCTACAACTGTTCTTGGCGATCTACCAGTTGTTCTTTGTAACAATTTCATGATAAGCCTTCAGCCTTTTAATATATGTCTTAAAACGAAGAAATTCAAGCGATGCTAAGAGAATAATGCAGATATTCTTTGTATTGGGCAACTGAGATGACAGATGAAGTCTGGAGAACTTTTGGAGTGTTCCAGGATACAGTTAGACTTAATTAAGATAAATATCGATTTATCTTATATCAATTTGACTAATCTCTTATGATTCTTTTCACTGTATAATTTTCTTCCTTCTTGTGAAGCCCGCCAATGAGTATCACTCCTTTGTGCTACATGTAATGAATTAATTTCTATCCACACCATACGAAGCAACAAATAAGATTTTCCTCCTGGGCCCAGTCCAACACACCCGTCACCAGGTCGGATGTCCAATCCCATCTTGATCAAAACCAAAGTCATTCACGCCATCCTGCTAGATTGTTGGCTTTGTCACAAGGATAGAAACACTCGCGACATCTGTCATGATGCTAAAGTCAAATCTTCTCCCCCTTGTATCATCATTAGGTCGTGTAATCACCTTTGAAAAAAAGAAAGGTTTATTTTAGGTTTACAAGTAAAGAAAGTATTGCAGATCAAAATAAATATCCACCTTATAAATATTAAATGCTAGTCTCTACCAGTTTAAGGCATCACCTCCAAATTCTGTCTATACCCTCCCAAGTCCAGGTTCTTTCAGGATTCACAAAAGCATCCTTGACAATGATGCAATTCCGATAAGCTCCCAGGGCCATTCTCCCCCCTGGAATTCAGTTGCACCAATGTATCATCTGGGAACTGTAATGTTTTAGATATTTGAAAATGGTGTATTCCAACATCTGTAAATTTCCGATAACCAAATGTTGCACATCGAACGGTTTCATCATTGGTGTTTCCAAATCGCCTAGGAGCCATTTTCCATCTTCAACATTCATGTTGCCTAATACTATACTTAATATTAATAACGGTTACGAAAAGCAAACACATCAATCATTCGTTATCTCGACGGAAAACCTTGTGATAAATACCTAGAAGACAGCCCCAAGCTTCATTTCTATCGGTTTACTTTTTTTTTCATTGTCATAAAATTATTGAGTCTCAAAAGTTGAGACATTTTATATATGCCTATTAAAATTTCGGACTCTGGCCAAATTATTTTTAATTTTAATATTAAAGAGTTTTTATATGTATTTTTTTTTTTGCATGATGTATGAATATATGTATGATTCGAATTTTATTTATGATCTTACACATCCTTTGGATACATAATTGTAAAGTTTTATATTAATATAATACTTTCCCATTAATGTTATCTTTATTATTGAAGAATTAAATTATGCATATTTGTATATACACTTCACTCTCTCTATAACCAGTGTTGTGCCAATAAAATTTCATTGGAACATTCCAACAAATTCTAATTGGAATTGGAATGTTCCAAATGTGGTTCCAATGAAGTTAACCAATGAAATTCAATTAGAGTGTCTCACACACAAATTTTATTGGTCAATATCAATTGAAGATCTACATTGAAACCATATTGGAGCCACATTGGAACATTCCAATAGCATTACAATGTTCCAATTGCACAACACTGTCTATAATGAACACCAAGTAAATCTCTATAACAAACTTCACTATAATCTTAGTAAAAAATTACATATAGAGATGGAAGGTTTGCTATAAAGAGTGAGTGAACTGTAGTAAATGGGAGACTATTAATAAGAATCCATGAAGTGTTTAAATAATAATAAATTTTCACTAACATACTAAAATAAAAATAAACACACATAGCCAATGTAAAGATCCAGATTAATGAGAAAGAATTAATGTTATATAGATGCTCTGTATGTAATTTGTACCTTTTACACATTTTCATAGAATGTGGTCCTAATATCTTTAAATATCACCAATAGGTGTGTATCTTTTCCTATATTTTCTATATTTCATTAGTGAAAGAGCAGGTATATACAACTTTTTATTTTCTTTAAAAAGGTGTATATATATGCTTTTCTCATAATAATAAAAAAAAGTAACTTTAATAATAATTTATTCTCTATATATGAAGGTTGTAATTTTGATCTTAGAGTTGGAAACAAAAGAACATATATTGAAAAGAAAAAAGATTGAATTAGTAAATTAATGGAACATTATTACTTATAGAGCAATTTCATAGCATGGATAATATGTTTAGAATAAAGTTTGATAAAGAAATAAGCTAATGTTAATAAATTAGTTTCGACTACTTAATATTAATCATTCTAATTTGATTTTTAAATCACGTGATTTGTTTGATGCGCAATTTAAAACTTTTATTCCTTAAAATTGCATTTTAAATAAATTTTAATCAAAAATAAACTGTGGTTGGATAAATAATTACCATTAAGTATTGGCGATTGTACTTATTGGACTGGTCCAAGCAGTCTAGTACAATAAATCAATTGGACACGGTCCAATTCTAAGGAGTGGTCAGCATTTAATTATGTGGTGAGTGACATATCTACTTCCCATTTTTCCTTTCTGTTCAATAGCTGAGTGGTTTCCTATTTCTTTCAACTGTAGTTTTTGTATCAGTATCAGTGACTCAATTTAACCATTCCTCATTTGGGAAGTTGTTTCAAAAAAAACTTACAATTCAACAACAAATTTTTTTAAAGTGATTATTTGGTTTATCAGGCAAAACATGAAATTCTCGCAAAGAATGATAAAGTCCAATAAAGTGGACTGGTCCAATGTACAACTAAGCCACTTTTTTTACTATGCCAATTGGGCTGGACTGGTCCAGAGAGTCCAAAGTCCAATAAAATGATTGGACTGGCAAATTAATTATCATAGATTTAATAATAGCTTTCAGAACCTGAATAAATTAACTTGTTATAATTATGATGCTCGGAGAGAGCGTTCCGCTAAAATATAAATTCGATTGTGCCATATATACAAAACAAAATTTTCAAATTTGGTTAAACCGCGTCAATATTTCTCGAATAAATACTTTTTTAGACATAGTCGTCGGTATTACCAATGGTAATACGATCCTATTACATTTTCATTTAATCAGCGGATCATAATGTTGTCTTTTCGCATCTATATATCTTTTTTTCAAATTTTTACTTGGTAAAAATTTTTTTCTAAAAAATAAATATAGAAGCTTCATCTAATTCTACTCGGGAAACTTTGGAACTTTATTAATTCAGAAATGTACAGAGTAAATGAAAATGATAGACAAAAAGCACACGAGTTTATACAGTCACTTTATGGAAATAAAAAAAAGGATGTTTCAAGTACTGGAAAAACTCGAGGCGCAAAAAGAACAGAATATCTGCATAAATCAGGAATCACTGTATCTTCATGGAAAATAAAGGAAGGGGATTATAAAAAAAGTCATGTTCTTACTATGGCCAGAGGACTATTTACTAGAAAAGCTGAAGATGGAAGATATGAAATTGTTATTCGTGGTTATAATAAGTTTTTTAACGTTGGTGAAGTGAAAACGGTAATTGAACTGTTTTATCAAATTTAAATAGACCTTTTTTAGAACAATAAATAATAACTACAATGTATCTAATTAGTGGAAAGACCTAATGTCACATACTGAAGGTCCTTATGAACTCACAGTTAAGGAAAATGGGTGTGTTATATTCATTGGAGGGCTTCCTGGTGGTCACCTTATTGTAACTAGTAAACATTCAACAGGAGAAAGACAAGGAGTCATTGCTCATGCAGTCAAAGGCACAGAATGGGTGGAAAGACATCTTGCTAGCACAAAAAAATCACCAAATGACCTTGCAAATTTTTTGTATAAAAATAAATTGACGGCAGTAGCAGAGGTTATAAATTATTCTTAAAATCTTGATTCATTTGATTATTATCATATTTATTAAACAATGATTTTTATTATTGTTAATATCGTTAATATTTATGCTAATTTTAAAAATCTGTGAATAAATAAAATAAATAGCTTTGCGATGATAGTTTTGAGGAACATGTATTACCGTATCCTTCCGAGATAAGTGGTCTTTATCTTCATGGAATGAATTATAATGTAATTGATTTGAAAACATGGCCAAGTGAAAAGGTTCAAGAATTTGCTAGAGAATGGGGATTCATACCAACGCAATATATTATGAAAAAATCAATTGATGAAGTTAAGGAGTTTACAGAAAAAATTGGAAAAAATGGGCATTATGATGGAAGAGCAGTTGAAGGATTTGTAATTAGAACTAAAGATAGATCAACTGGTGAATGTTTCTTTTTCAAAGTTAAATATGATGAACCATACCTTATGTATCGTGAATGGAGAGAAGTAACTAAAACAATTTTAAATAAAAAAAAACCAAAATCTAAATATGCATTAACTCAAAAGTATATTAATTGGGTAACGGAAAAATTGAGAACAGAACCAGGTCTTTTTGAAGGATACAAAATGAATCACGGAATCATTAAAATAAGAGAAATGTTCTTGAATGACCAGAAAATGCCAGGCGAGACATTAATTTCTACCAAAGTTGATAAAGAGTTCAAGAAAACGTTGATTATCACAATTGCTTCAATTGGATGTGGAAAGACATCATTATCATTGGCACTTTCTAAATTATTTGGATTTGAACATATACAAAAAGATGATATGACAAGCAGGGCAGACTTCTATAAAAACATTGGTGACCTTTTGGAAACACATGATGTTGTTATAGCAGATTGGTGTGATGAATTAATTGTAAATTATGATTAATTAATTTATTATTATTGTTGTTTATGAATTTTTTTTTTTTTTTAATGTAAATCTAATTTAGGGATAATCTAACCTTAAAACTTCGAAAAACTTTGATTGAAGCTGTGAAATCAAGACATCAAAATCTTTTTATAGTTGGATTGTATTGGTATCATGATGTAAACAATCTAGAAGAAGTTTACAAGATTACTTCAAAACGTGTTTTTGAAAGGGGAGAACATCATCAATCACGTATACCAGATATTCCTGAATATGAACATCTTATGTGGTCATTTCTACGATCATTTGAACCGCTTGATTCCAACCATGGGATTGACGGTCAATTTAATCTTGTGATAGAACTGAAAATTGCCAATGACTTGAAAGATAATCTTAAAATAGCAATCGAACAACTTAAAACAATTCTTGAGATGAGAGAACCTTCAAAAGAAGAAATTGTTAAGGCAATAGAAGAAGCAACACATTATGAACCAACTGTTCATAATATTATTGAAAAAAGATCTCCCGAGAAATTAAACAGATACAAGGATACATTACCATCTCCTGACCCCTACAAAAACAATCCAACACCATCGTTGTCACCAAAAAAGACCAATAAACCTAGAAATAAACCACCTGTTTATTATGGGGTTAAACTCGTAAATTTTGACATGGAAAACTTTCTTGCTGATTTCTTTAGAGAAAATCCAAACGTTGATTCTGGAACTTTCCATAAGTTACGACAAAACAACCGTATCAAGATTGATGGTCACGTAACACTTATTCATAGAAATCTATTAAAAAATAATCCATCAGAAGAAATTAAAGAAATGTGGGAACAATGTAAAAATTTGTGCGATTTGAAAACACAAGTAAAATTATATATTGATAAACTGATATTTGATGGAGAAAAAATGGCTTTAGTTGTAAAGGGAATAGAACCATTTATCAAAAGTATCAATGAGATACCGCATATCACGGTTGGGACAATTGACAGCAGCGTTAAACCTGTTGGAGCTAATACAATGTGTGAATCAGCTTTGCGTGATAAAAGTTCTCATAAAGATATAAAAGTGATTGAGTTTATTTCAGAATTAGAAATTGATGGAATTGTAAATGCATTTTATTCGTGAATTGCTGTTGCTACAACTATTATTATTATTATTTAATTACCATTGTATATTGCATCTTAACTAAAATCAATAAAAAAAAATCACTCGCATTATATTTCTAATTATTTTTTATTGATTAATTTATATACATCTTATTTAAAGAAAAATTGTTACTTCATCTCATTTATATATACAACATATACTTAAAAATTCTTATAGAATTTAACTTAAAAAAGTTTTTCGAAAAAACTTTTGATTTTCATAAAATCATAATATATAACGATAGATTTTTCATCCGAAAAATATATGTGAAAAAAAAAAATAAAATATAAAAAAAAATATTATATCCTCCTTTTTTTAAAAAAAAATATAAAAAATAAAAAATTTTGATAAAAAAAAAAAAACAAAACAAATTATATTACAAATAATTGATAAAAAATAAAGTAGCATTTATATATATATATATATATATATTTATTTTTTTTTTTTTTTTTTTTTCTGTGCAAAATAAAAAATATATTTACATTCTATTTATCAAAGGAAAACAGCCTTCTTGATAAATTTTAGGGCAAATTTATTATTACTATTATTTTTAAAATTTTCATTTGTATATAAATTTTAATCATTATTTCTTATTTATCAATACTTTCCCCAAAGTTGAAGTTTCTCTCTTCTTTACCTACCATTATCATGCCATCGCCAAAGAATTTTTAATGACGTTCTAAATAATATTCTGATGCATCTTGCGAACCATCAGAATCATTGGGATTGCTAGTTGTTGCTTTGTGAGATCCACCATGATCAGAATCATTTGGATTTAAGATATCCAACTCTTCAAATATTTTATCATTTTCAGCACCATCAAGAGGATTAGAGATCAAACATCTTTTAAATGCATTTACAATATGGGTAGAAGAAACTTCATCCCATGCATTTTTCACCCAACCACAAACTTCGGTTATTTTAGCTTGTAAATTGATAGGAGGACTAGCATTTTTCCAATTTTGCCATTCTTTACGTAAATTTTCTTTGAATGATCTCAAGACAATGACGTTAAGAGGTTGACATACTCCAGTCAATCCTTCAGGAATTACCGCAACTTGAAAATTGTTACATTGAAATTTCGAAATTACAGAGTCTTCCAATCGACCATTATACGAATTATGTACAAATAAAGCTGGCGCATTACTGTCTTTAACCATTCTCATACAATGAAGAATATCAACATAATTTTTCAGATGTTCAGTAGTCAATACTCCATTCTCTTGAAACCAAACAAGAACTCCATTAGGGACAGTTTCTCCAGGTGGCATTTGTGTTCCTCTAAAGATACATATTGGTGGCATTTTTGTTCCATCTAATAGTAATAATAATAATAATAATAGTTTAATAAGAATAAAATAAAATTATATAAATAAAAAATATACAGATAAAAAAAAATAATACCAGCTGCACATGTTAAAATAATAGTAAAGTGATAATTTTCAACCAACATAGTATCATTATGAGTAATTCTTTTACGTCTACTATTAATCACCATGTTTCCAGATTCATCAAACCACACAGGAACTTTATCCATATTAAACATATTAGCAGTAATAAAATCGTATTGAAGTCTCAGTTGGACTACATTTTTACGAAAGTTGTTGAAACTTTCAGCAGCAACCTTAGTACGTGCCTTTTGAAATTTAGATTTTCTGCATATTGGAAGATTATTTCGTTTTAGAAAACCCATTACCCAACGAGCACTACCTTTAAAATTATTTAAAGCATTTGGATATTTTTTTTCCATTTCACTTTGTTTTAATATTTCGTGCATCTTTGCTTGAATTTTTGCATGAGTCAATTTTGTAGCTTGATCTTTTTGATCACAAATCCAAGCATAAAGTTGTTTCTCAGCATCAGGATAATGCGCTTTTTGACCTGAGCCAATACGTTTAGAATTGTTACTCACTTTATCATCCCATTTATTACTTGCTTTAACCCATCTTCCGATCATTGTTCGATCAATTTTAAAATGACGCGCAGCAGAATTTCTACCATGTTTCTTTGCATATTCGGTAACTTCTTTTTTCTTTTCAACTGTATAAGAAGTTCTAGTTTTTGGACTAGTTTGATGATCTTTATTTTTATCATTATCGTTATCGTTATTATCATTATCATCATCATTATAGTTGCTAATGCTACAATTATTTCTATTAACAATATTATCGTTACTGAAGATGTCATTGATGGCAAAGGTTTCTGAATTATCAGTGATATCCATATTTGCATTATTAATATCAGAATTAAAATTAGCAATAGTGTTAATGTTGATGTTTTCTATAACGTTAAAAGAAGTGATGGCAGTAGTTGTGGTTGTGGTATTGGCATTAGTAGTAGATGTGGTAGATGTACCAGTATCATCAGTGTCAGTGTCAGTAGAGTAGTAACTAGTATTTTTAACGAGTGTGTCAATGGTAGATTGTTGATCAGGCTCAACTAGAAATGAAGTGGCTTGTAGAATATTGGATTGTGCCATCTTTCACAATTTTGACCTAAATGAATAAAATAATAATAAGCTGTTAATTATTCATCTATCGATCAAAAGAAGTATTTTTTTTGATTTATTTTTTTCTAATGAAGCTCAATATTTATTCTTTTCATTTAAAAATTATAAAGAATTTACCAAATCAATCAATTATCAAAACAATTATTAATAAATAAATAAATTTATCATGCAAACCTTTTTTTCTTTTTCTTTGAAAAAATTTTCGATGAGTAAATATATTTATTGTTTGATAAACTTGACGAGGGAAAGAAGATATTTTAAGAGGAAAAAAAAATAAAATGAAAAAAATCCAAATTTGTTGTAAATAAGAAGACAAACCTTTATATAGCAACGATCTTCGAAGAACTTTAATGCTTTTTCTAGATGTTTGGAATAAACAAGAAAGCGAGTCCTCTTTATTATTGATCTTCGATAAGCATACACTTCCCAAAGAATAAATAGTGAAACAATTAATAACATTTAGGAATCAAGGGGTTTGTTATTATTCTCTTCAATTTTAAGATAATAATAAATATGCAAAATTTTTTTGACACAAATTAATTGACTCTTTTTTCGGAAAATAATATTAAACGAAACTTAATATTATGAAACATTTATTAATCACTGGTCATTGAGAAAATTGCTCCTAAATTAACGGAAGCTCCGTAATATTATTATTATTAATTATATTTAAAAAAACGAGCCACTCTCACTAATCACTAACCTTGTTTTCATCGTCTTCAGAGGTTAAGATGAAATTCATAATAATGACAAAAAAAGTTAGGGTTTTTTATAACAGAATAATTTACAAGAATTAATTATGCAACCACCAGCCAATAAAAATGAATTTGTGAGAAAATAAAAAATAAATTTCAATAGCAATAGTAATTGGTCAAAAACACAATGATGCCGACAGCATTTCTAATTGTTATTGTCTTGAATGACTTGGATGATCTCTCCATTAATGAACAAAACTGTAATAATAAAAATGATTGGCGTGAAAATCAACGGCAACGGCAACAATTTCACCTTCACCAATACCGACAGAGGATGAAATCGACGACCATTTAACATCGTTGAATTTACAATTATTGGCTTTTCCATTACCACCATTATCTTCACAACCCATCACTACTATTTTGACGTTGCCCTAGTACAAAGATTGTCTGAGGGTAATAATAAAACTTGATTTCAATTATCGTCATAGCAGTAACATTAATGATAATATTCACTTGTGCTATCATCGTATTATATAGTAAATTTGAGCATAGTAAGTAGCAACAATAATGATATTGTCACATGTACTATCATATTAACATCGTAGAAATAGGTCAATTCGTTTAGTATGTTGAAATTTCTAATTCAAAAAAAAATTTGCATTCATCCGAAAAGTTATATTTTATAAGTGATGATTACGATCTTCTTTGCCATCGACAACAACAACAAATAGATATATCATCGTTTGATTCTAATAAATTAAACGCTAATGATTGCATTATTAATCAGTGTTGTCAGCGGACACGGACACGGAATGTCCCAGGCATTCCTGGATAAAATATAAATTTTGCTTGTAAATAATACAAGGGTAGCTTTTTTAGTCAACATTAATTATTTAACGTTTCGAGTTAGCCTTTTAGCTAACTCGTCAATTAATTAATTTATTTTAAGAAATTATCCTGCTTGTTACCTCTTTCTTCTACCTAGAAAGCTTTGGCGAATTTGTAAGCACACTTTATGGTACAATTAACAACGAATTACAATAAATAAAGATGGCCCTTCTACGAAGCAACAAATGCACCTATAGAGTTCCTTTTCTATTTACTTTGCTTTTGCTTTACTTGGGTCGATCAAAGTCATCCGAAATTACTTTAACACAATAGCCAATAATCAATATGTGGTAATGACTTTGGTTAATAACTATTAGCACTTAATAATTTTGCCAATAAGTCTTAACAATTAAACAAGGACGTTTACCCTTAAAAATTAAACGTTTACTTTCTTTACTAATACTAAAGCAAATAACCAAAACCTCAGAGTTCTATACCACTCTGATAACTAAATGGACAATTAACTCCTATTGTTTAATTTCTGACCACAAAAGTGAAAGAATTAAAGAAAATCATATTATATATATTAACTTTCTGCCTCTACTCTAATGCAAGGCTCTGAATTATTAATGTAGGAGGATTATTTAATTACCCAGTTGATTGATTAATTAATTAATTTTACTTGGTCAAAAAGTGACATTATTTATAATAATTTTTTTTGATCTTGATTTAACATTTGTGCAAAACCATTTAAACAATTGTAATTGAATTAATTGAGCTGCACCTAATTTTCCTCCTCATATTTTATTTTTGTTAAATTAGACATTTTCTTTAGATGCTGAATTATTCAATCTTTTTTGTTTGGAAACCATTTTTTCTTCTCCTGATTTTTCAACATATGCTTTGCAAAAGGTTTTGGTTTAATTTGATATTGGTTTGGCATTTTATATGTCCAATTAATTTCCAATTGGATTTGTCTTGTCCCAGTTGTTCAATCCAAATCCAATCGGCACAGTAGCTAATTGGACATTACTGACTGTCCAATATAAATATGCCAATATCGGACATTCGAAATGTTACACTAATTTTTTATGCGTGTAACGTAATTTTAAAGTAAAAAAACTTTATTGTTCAATTAAAGTGGTGACACGTTGATATGTAACACGTACTGTAACTTTACAGAGATATTCTTTAACTTAATTCCAGCCGCATCCGTCGGCATCCGCGATTTTGTCATGCTTTACTTAGTACTAACATTTCCAATATGGTATTATGCAGCAGATGTGCAATTTGCAACGAAATTAGAGTAGGCTCCGAAGTATAGAAAAACAAGTATAAATAAAGCAGAACTGGGAGTTGGGTGGATGGACTTGTTATCTTTTAAAACATTTTCAAGGTATAATAATGAAAAAGCCAAATGTGCACTTTGTAAAGAAACTAAAACTTTTAAACAATAAATGAAACTACTAAAGGAAAACCGAAGGAAGGTATTCATTCTATAATTATTGTTAAATTAATAGTTTGGTATAATATATTTACTTTGTATATCTATTTCTTATTTATTAGATGGGTAAATGATGAATAGTAGAAGGTAGTTGTTCTATAATTATTGTTAAATTAAAAGTTTTGTATAATATATTTTTTTATTTTTTTATTTGTTATAGATGTGGGTGTATATAGAAACAAGATAGTCATTCTATAATTATTATTAAATTAATGGTTTTGTATAATATATTTATTTTTTCTTGTTATTAGGCGTAGATAATAAAAACAGGTATTTGTTCCATAATTATTGTTAAATTAATGGTTTTGTTTCCTTAGAACACAAGCAAAAGAAACAAGATAAGTTGTTTCTATAATTATTGTTAAATTAAATGAGGTAGTTTTATAATTATTGTTAAATTAATAAATTTGTTAAATTTGTATAATATATATTTATTTCATAAATAATAGAAACAAGGTAGTTTGTTCTGATTATTGTTAAATTAATGGTTTTGCATTATTTGCTTCCAATATCTACTTGATAAAACTTATACATCATGAAGCCTCTTCTCTAAATTTTTGTGTAATCTATTCGGGCCAATCGAATTTTCTTTTTAGTGTAATCTGATCGATGAAAATCATTACCAATTATAAGAATGTTCACCATGCCTGCCAATACCCAAATATTTGTGAGACATTTGAATATTCTAAATTCTAACCAACATAAAATATAATGTATTTGGAATTAGAACAATGGGAAATAAACCTCATTTTTTAACATCACACATTTACAGTATATTCTTAATGAAAAAATCAATTATTTCAACAAATATGCTCTTTGTTTATATTGTAGAAATGCCTTGAGTCATGAAGTTGCTCACCAGAATAGATTTTTGAATAAAAAAGATAGAATTAAGTCATATTTAAAAAAAATGTGAAAATTTCAAAGTGATAGTAGGAATCAAATTTTAGAAGAAATACTTGCAAATTCTCAAAAAAGATTGGCAATTTTTCAGATTGCTGGAAATAATTGAACAAAGTGAAATAAAAATAACTCAAAATTTTATTTATCAAAATTGTTTTTAGATCTTCACATTGTTTTTCACAAAAAATCATATATTTAAATCAGATGACTAAAATTAGAGAATTATCTGTTGTTGAACACAGAGGTAATTGGTGCTTGGAAATGTGATGTAAGCAAGATAGAAATAAGCAAAAGACTTGGGATACTATCGAGAACAATATATAATATTATAGGAAAATATAATAAAGAAGGAACTCATCAGGAAAATGGGTACAAATATTATGTGTATATAATACACAATTGCAGGGATTAAGCATATAATATGCGTACAAATCATGTATTTTTTTATGTATGCAAATTGTACATATATTATATGCTTAATCCCTGCAATTGTGTATTATATACACATAATATTTGTACCCATTTTCCTGATGCTGTTGAAAATGATAAGAGAAGTGGGAGACCCAAGTCACTTTCAGATAGAGATAAATGTGCTTTAGTGAAAGTTGTCTGAAAAAAATAGGAAAAATGCAGTAGAAGATTATAAAAACGAAATAAATAAGGTTCCCTGTAAGTACAAGAACAGTGCAAATAAATTTACATGAAATGGATTATCATGCACATGCAGGAAAAAGAAAGCCTTTACATCAGGAAAATGGGTACAAATATTATGTGTATATAATACACAATTGCAGGGATTAAGCATATAATATATGTACAATTTGCATACATAAAAAAAATACGTGATTTGTATGCATATTATATGCTTAATCCCTGCAATTGTGTATTATATACGCATAATATTTGTACCCATTTTCCTGATGTAGTATTAGAAGTAAATAGAAAGAAACATTGTCATTTTGTGAGATGTTGTTAGAATGGAATGAAGTCATATTTAGTGATGAATCAAGATTCACTGTATTTGACAATGACTCTCAAAATTGGGTTTGGGGACAAACTCCATGAGAAATATAATATTGATTGTTTAGTACCTAAGGTTGCACACTCACCTGGAATAATAGTATGGGGATGCTTTACTCAAGATCAAATTGGTCCACTTATACAAGTTAATGGTAGCATTACAGGTGAAGCATATGAAAAAATACTCAAAGATCACCTATTACCTTTTCTTCAATTTTTGGACTCTTCAAAATTATGGGTATTTCAGGATGATAATGCTCAACCCCACAGAGCAGGCAGGGTTGAACAATTTAAACAAGATAATAATGTTCTTTCACTTCCTTGGCCACCTCAGAGTCCAGATTTAAATCTAATAGAAAATTTATGGGATGAGCTTGAAAGGAGAGTTAGAAAATGTGAGAATCTTCTTAGAAATAAAGATGATCTTTTTGCTGCCCTGGAAGAAGAATGGTACCAAATTGACATAGAGACATTGGCAGATTTAGTTGATAGTATGCCTAGGAGAATAGATGCTGTATAAAAAATCTAAAGGCTATCCAACTAATTATTAATTATACTAAAATTGATAATCCAAAAATTTCACATTTTTAATTTTTTTTTATTTCTCAATAAAATTTGACTGCTCTTTACATATATATATTAATATATATATTTCAAACATGATGCACATTTTTTATCATGCTGTTAAGATGTGTTAAAACTTGACAATTGGGTTTAATTATTGAATGAAAAAATGATATAAATATTTTACATTTAATTTAAAATCTCAATAGTCATATTTCATAAGTTTATTATATACAGTGTGTAACAAAAAAAACTGGATATTTTTTTATGCAATGTAAACGTGTCTCATGCGTTTGTTTTCTGTCTAATTTGAGAAATGTAAAATGGAAAATAAACATGATAATCAGGAGTAAATTTGAGTGTTGTTTACAACCCTGAACCTTAGTGTACTTTTTGCTTTATATACAAACACAATGCCCACTTCTAAACAAGAAATGCAATGTCAATGCATATTACAATTGTGGAATGAAGGCATTCACAATGGCCAAGAAATTCATCACCAAACAAACATCCCATTGTCTACTATTTATGATAACATTAAAAAAATAAAAGAAAAAGGGACGGTGGAGCAGGCATGAGGAAATGGTCAGCCCAGGAAAATAACTGGGAATACCTCCAAGATGATTGGACAATCAATATGGAGAAATGACTCAATTTCCACACAGACCTTAGCTTGAAAAGTGTTGAATACGGGTGTTGATGTGTCACATATGACAATTTTGAGGCACCTGACCACTTATGGGTACTCGAAAGCATTCCTAAACAAACACCTATGTTAACCGAAGCCCATAAGCAAAGGCGTGTTGAGTAGGCACGTCAGCACCTTAATGACAATTGGAGGAAGACATTATTTTCTGATGAAACCGTGTTTCAACTTTACCAAAACACCATTGAACGTTGGTACAAAGGTGAGCGGCCAATTCGTCCCATGCCCAAAGATCATACAAAAGTTTTTGCATGGGGCGGATTTTGCATAGTCAGAAAAACAAGTTTATTTTGCTTCAGGAGGATAATGGATGCCAAATTTTATGTAGAAATCCTCCAGAAACATATGCCAGAAGTAAATAGGATGCTTGGAGGTAGATGGAGACTCCAGCAAGACAATGATCCAAAACACATGAGTCATCTTGCTATGGAGTTTCTGAAAGAAAACATTCCAGCAGTTATGGACTGGCCATCAAATAGTCTCGATTTAAATCCGATAGAAAACCTTTGGGGAATTGTTAAGAATAATGTAGAGAGGCATATGCCAAAAAATCTTGGTGAACTAGAGAGATTTATGATGGAGGAGTGGAATAGAATTCCGGAAAGCATGTTAATTAATTTAAGGGTAGAGTGTAGGTAACACGAATTTCACTATGATACTGTTGATAAAAAAAATTACGTAACACTCCAAGTTGTTAGCCTCATACATAAGTATTCCAAAAACTAATTTTTGTGAGATGTTTACTATTGCAAAATCCTTTTTCAGAA